CAAAACGTAGCGGGAAAGTTTGCCTTCTCACTTGAGCGCGCTCGTTCGTTGGAACAGCAGTTGAAATGTAATTTACGCTTCGATTTCTACTTGTGTGGAAGCGACCCTCCTGATCATACATCTCGCCTGAGAAAGGTCTGAATTGTAAATTTACGCGGCACCTCTGGGACCTTGGCGGTGGAAGACGACGAGGAAATCATTCTTTTTTATTAGGGAGAGAAGCCTAAATCTCAGCTCGGCTGGCAGTCTTCCCTTTCTTTTTAAACTCCTGGCACAAAAAAGCTTTTAACCCAGTGCCGCAGTCAGGGCTCCTAAATACAGATTTAATTGATTCCCTTTCAAAGCGGAGAGAGATGGAAAATCCGTCCTGCAGTGAAAAGAAAGGACTTCGTCAAAACACGGTCGTGGCTGTCATCCAGCAGACCGTCTGTTTTATCGCGCAAAATGAGTTTCTCGCACCGTGAGCAATAAATAAAAGAGATCGGAAAGAAAGAAAGAATACGAGGAAGGGTGAAAAGAAAAAAAAGAGGAAAAAATACCCGTCCTGCAAGTGACTCGGCTGTCGACTAATCCAATCAGATAAGTTTGAGCTTATGCAACCTGCTTGGCAGGCACGTATGTTTGGGTTGCATAACTGTGACACTTCCATTGAAAAGCAGATGTTGGAATTGGAAAAACTGATTTATTACAATTCTGAACTTTACAATGCAATTAATTTTTGCCACGTTCGTACTTGACGCTAGTGAAATGTTGTAATGAATCATTTATTTTCCTCTCGATGAGAAAAATATAATATTGAAATATTTTTATTAACTTTCTGTAATAAAAAAATGGAAAAAAATCATTCTCATGTCAATAGAAAAAGGAAGGTAAAAATTTCTTGAAATAATTCTAAAAGCAACTGATTAAATTACGCGAGAAAACATTCATAGCTCAGAATTATAATCAAAGTGATTATCGTAATTATTTTTCCCACTTAATTAAAATTGAAAGAGAATACAAATTCAGATTGTTATTAAACTGACCAGAATGGTTCTAAAAATTATTCTTCCATACAAAAAGAGGACACGGAGTACATTTTAAAGTAAATTCTTAAAAAAAATACAACACTGGGCGGAAGCTATTACACGCTGTCTTGCCAATGTAATTTATACATTAGTTCGCAACTGCTTGTGATAAAATGCTTTCCTTCTAACAACAGAGAGTAATAAAATAAACCAAGTGACGTTCCAGGGGTAAAAAGTAAATTGAGTCGACAACGACTCCTCAGCAACCGTGTTTCTTTTTATTGCAATAAAAGAGATAAATCTTTTGGAGAAAAAATACACGCATTACGGGCATGCAACAACTTGTTCTTCTTCGTGGAAGACAAAGGGCGAAAGTTGTCCAACAGCTAAGGCGTCACGTTCCAGCTGAGGTCACGATCTACCATAAAAATGCAATAACTACCCTAATTAATTACACAGGCCATGCCTAACGCACAAAAAGCCCATTGTGGCGTCGTGCGTATTTGCATGCTTATCTTAAATAAAACGTGACCTCTTCATGCCGCACCGAAATGAGTTAGGCTGCCGAGAAGAGCGGTGCACAAAGGGCTGCACAAGCGCCACGCTCTTAAAATGTTTGTTGGACCCTTTCGCCTCCAACTAAGCGGGTACATTGAAGTGAGAGCTACGAACTCCTTTCCTACAGTTAAATAGTAATTTGTGAACGAATTTTGGTTGAATTTTCAAGAAATTAGAACGCCAATGAGAAATTAATTCTGAATAAATCATAATGTTTTTTAATTACTAAATGAAGTAGCAATATTTAAATTTATTTAAACTGATCTCAATATTAGCCCCCCTACCCTCATGCAGATTAAATAATGGCAATTTCCCATGACTTAGCAAAACAAACCATATGAAAAAGTTTGACTTTTCTTTACAGAACTCGTAAATAACAAAAATAATAAAGAACCTAAGCTTTGATCTTAAAAGAAGAGATGTTTGGAGCTTTCATCTATTTCAAAATTAATGCAATTTGTAGGGGTTTAAAGTTCAGGTTTTTTTTATGAAACAAAAAATTTCTTTTATACTAATTTTCGAAGTTTTCCCTCTAAAATATACACTTTTTAATAAGAAGTTTCAGAAAAAGCGTGGAAATGGTTGAAATTGGCATTGAAAGCAATAAACAAAAGACGCAAATTCTGGTGTAACAAAAAAATATATCCCTAGACACATATCGACCTAATCAAAAAAACCTTCCTACATATCTTTGTTGCTCTCTACAACAAGTGCAAATCCCCAGCTTCTTTTCCATTTCAGGGCGGAGTTTATTTAATTTGGCCCCGAAATTCGCTCGCTGTTTCAGACAAAGGGAATCCTCTTTAGGCTGATAGCGAATTTCCCCAGAGGTGTTCCGCGGCTCCGACGTACTTGTGCCGAATAATGAATACGGAGCGCGCTTCAATTGTTTGCACTACATACCTACATGCAAATATCGACGTGTGGGTTGGTAATTGGACGCGAGGGGTCGAGCCGGACGGATGCAGTCGACCGCACTCGGAATTAATATTAATCGGTGAACTTAAACCGACTATTAATTTTCTAACGCCTGTCTAATGAAATTGAAGCAGTCGACCAGTGACTTATCCGTTGCAGGCCGCAAAGGGCCATGTATATATTTCAGTGTCAGACCGCTTTGCCAGGCCGATTACTTTCGCAGCGGATGGAATTGTTGGCCAATCAACAGGATGGAACGGGTGGAAATGAGCAGCGAGTTTATTTTGCCAATTGAAAAGTGGAACGGAAGCAAAAAATGAAGTACAAATCGCTGTATACTGATGGATAAATGTCCTGTGGGTTGCATATTTACGCTGATTTCACGCCGCAAACGATTGACCAATTGAAAAGTGGTGTCGTGCAGTTGATGGCATATCAATATTTAATCACGTCCAGTGCGAATAACGTTTTAATATTGCCTATACATATGGAGAAATAATGTCACTGCTTGCAATCGATATCAAGCGGTCTTTTGCATGTATCCTATTTGATCGCCACTGACGGAATGGCATGACGGGTTTTGATCACGTTCCCATGTTAATGGAATAAAGTGTACAATGACAAATGCCATAAATATCAGGATATAAATAGATTTCTGAACCTGATTGTCCGCTGGTGTCCTGAATAATTGAGTATTCTAGTCTAGTTGTAAATGCAAAACAATTCAATTTATCTGCTTTTTGACATTAAAAATATAATCATAAAATATAATTAAAACAAATAACGAACATTAACAAAATTGAATGTTTCTTGTTTTTTTTAAAATAATTTTTATAATTAATATTTATTCTATATATTTTTGTTATATATTAAAAAACACGTTTGAATTGATAAAATAATAACTATATTTAGTTACTTATAAAATGTAAATATATATAATAAAAAACATTCCATATTCATTTTTGTAAACTAATGATTTAAAGTTAAGTCCTTTTAAATATTATAAATTTGCTTTCTAACAACATTATGAAATTATTATAGATGGTTATAAACTGACTAGGTCGGATTGTTCTCCGTTCTCAATTTAAATATTACACCATATATTTCATTTTATATTATTTCTTATCTCTTACCCATGTCCCATGCAAAATACATGAATGATAAATATTTTTTCTGACTGACGAACTTTATTTTCATGGAATTTTTGAGCAATTAATTAGCTGTAATAAATACGCACACCCTTTCACTGTTCCCTTTTTTATTATTACCTATCTTCAGCCAACATTTAAATTATTATTTTATTTTCCATTTTCTTATATCTACTTGAAAATTGTTAATTCAATCTAATGTAAAGAACTTGTAAATTTTCTGTAGGATTTGTTCAAAATATTTGTGTTTAATTAACTTATTTACACAATTTGAACTTTTTGTAAAACAATAGTATCAATGGTAATTGAGCCACGAAAAATGTTTTAAACAAAGTAAAAATTAGTCCGTGTTTTGCAACTTCTTTTTAAACAGCCAACTGAATGCTTTGAGACAAGCCATCTGTGTGAGATTTAGAGCGATTACTTTATGAATTACTTTCACATGTGCCATTTTTGGAAAGACTAATCGAATGCACTCACGCGCTTTCAAAAAGAAAAAGGCTTAAGCAAGAGCGGCGGCAATTGAATGCGCCACATTCAAATTCCACTTTGGCGAAACGGAGAAAATTTCAGCACTCAAACTGGCGGCGTGTGAGTGTGACAGTTGTGCGAAAGTCTGCAGATGCCGGTCTCGCCGAGGCTCCTTAGCAGGGCTGAGCTCGCAGAAAGAGACGAGAGCAAACCCCACGAGGAATCAAAGCTGAGCATAAATCCGGCAGTCTGAGTGATAAAAAGTTCTCCCGAAATGAAGCGCGCAAGACAAAATCATCTCTCCAAGGAAGTTTTAATTTCTTCTCAGGGCATAAAATATTTTATGGCGTCTGCCACTGTTGCTGTGTTTGCCGGCAGCTCCCTCTTTTTAGCGTCGCGCTCGCGGAATACATTTTCTTAATGAAGAATAATCGCGGCGAAACGCGGAATTATACGACACTTTTTGCACAGAGTGAATCGTAAATGCCTTTGTGCGCCGACAAAAGGAAAGTCATCTCGCGCGTGCTGTGGTATTTTCATTATGGCGATGTTGATTTGAGATAAAAAGCACCCGAGCGTCGACGAGAATGCCAGGTATGGAATTAAAGAACAATGCAGTCGTGTTTGGAAAATACTGGGGCATGATGTGTGTGTGTCTATAAAGTATTGCGGCTCCCAGTGTGCCAGCTGCGGTGCTGCATTATTCCCAAAAGGAATTCCCATCTCTGCATAGCTCTCGATGTGGCTTCGACGGCCTCCGTCTCCAAGGCAGAATGCAACTACTTAACGTGCCGTGAAATTTATTCTGCAAATGGCTTCGTTTCCGAAGGCTCTATCGAGAAACGTTTACAATATAAATGCATTTAATATTTTTCACACCTGATGAACATCAGATAAATAGGAAAAAAGATAAAAAAAAATTTAATGGAGATCAACAGTACAGGCATTCCGATTTCAATCTGCAAAGCTCAGGACATTCCTTTAGCATTGGAGTTCTATCAACTCTCCTTCTTGAGCCGATAAAATTAAGACCTCTTTTTGCATCCCTGCAGGACGGGAAAGGTCGCGAGTCTCCAGCTAATTTGTAAACTTTATTTCCGCAAAAATAGCTGTCATGTTGCAAAAGAAAACCTAAAAAAATTCTGATTAAAATATGATATTATTATAACGAGTATTATTTATTTTTATTTTTTAATATAATTTGTGGAACCTTTAATTTCCGCCAATGGCCAAACAAATTGCTTTAAAGCTTCCTGATCTTCGCCAATGTAAAGGGCCTTTGCATTCGCCGCCATCATCTGGTCAGTTACATTTTTCCATAAATATCTGTGGCCCAAGTCTAGTCTGGCTCCCCACATTCCAGCTTAAAATTGCTCAGAAAAAATATTGGACAGCTCATACACGAGTTGTATATGTTACCAAGAATCGGCATACTGTGAAAGGGATTATCCCTCATAACGTGCAGAGGGTAGGTCATCTCGAGCCATTCTCGGACCGCTAGGACTTCTCTGTCATTGAGATTACTGTCTAGATCGCGGAAAAGAGAAATATCCACCAGAGGGTCGGTCAACGTTAAAAAACGCCACATAGTTTGAGGAGATCCTTTTGTTTCAAAATTTTTGATTATTTTCCATTTTTGCGTAAGACCAGTTTTAAATTTTTTACCAATTAAATTTCCGTAGCCGGGAATATTTCCCACAAAGCACAAGTCCAGCGTTTCACCATAGCTCAATTCCAATCGGTCCAAGGTGGTATTCAACCTACCTTTCCGGATGTCGTGATAAAGTCTCATAATCCAGTTTGGATACAGTTCGCGGATTAGGTTGGCGTTTATTTCAATCCCTTCAAAATAGCCTCTCCGACTTTTGATCCTCCCAAAGAATGAAAATGATATCACTCTTTGATGGGGGCCTCTTCTCGATGCCTTTTTACTGCACGTGGAAGAATGTGCGTGATTGTTTACTAAAATAATTACCAAGCGTTATTTATAAATTTTGTAATGCACTAGGAATCTAGAAAAAAACCCAGCAAACTCACAGTTTTGAAAGCTGCTAAAATTTGCAATGTGTGGCCCGTCATAAGTCCAAGCATTATTTAGCAAAAAACAAATGCTAAATGCTGCGGTGATTAAAGCGAAAACAAGGAGACGTTTCCGTTTGAATAAATGACGAAATGGAAGTTTCATCGGTGGGACTGTCTGTGACCACTCGTATTGTTCCATCTGAAGAGAAAAATTTAAATAAATTTGACATTGTTTTAAATATCCAGTAGAACTTACAGAATTTTGTAGTAGAATTTCACGATAGAGGTGATTCATGGTGATTTGAAATTAAAGTAAGCTTTTCCTTGATGGGCTTTTGTGAGCTGCTTATTGTTTAAGAATAAAGAGCAGGATATTGTTTTTCTTAAACAATAAACAACTCACAAAACCCATCGAGGAAAAGCTGACTTTAAATTCAAATCACCAACTTACAGATTATTTCCATTAAAAATAGTTGAAAACTATAGTTGCTCTTTTCCCTTTTATAGAGCAAACGTGAAGCCCGGCAGCTGGTTTGATAATGCCACATTATTGCTGCCAGTAATTTTTCAGCCACTGATTTCAAGGTTTATCAATGTTATCAAAATGTCTTATCAGGACAAATGCTCCACTCCATAATCTCACATCCCCTCTCACTCTATTCTCACTGACCACATTTATTTGCATTGGAGTGATTAAGATATTTTGAGGTTAAATAACCCACAGGTGTGATAAGCGTTTATCTATAGCTGCTGATTTTTCAGCCGTATCGACCTGCAAAAGAAAAAAAATATCAAGAGCAGATCTGTTGGATAATTATAATTGTACATGTTACAAAAAAAAGTTGAAATTTTTCCCAGTTAATGATATAAATTAATATACATAATAATTAAAATAACTTTTACGTCTCACAATTAGAATTGATGGTTGAAGTCCGGCGAAGTAGAGATTATTTTTTCCTTTCCTAATCTTTTTCGTGGCAGTTGGAAAGTTATAAAAATAAGGACGTAGTGCGAAACTTTTCGCTCTTAATCGCATTTTCTCGGCCGCGCAAACGAACAAAAACTTTTTTAACGGCAATGGTGAGAAAATTCGGTGAGCAAAAAATACTTTCTCTCTATTTACACAGTAGCTAGCTGCACACGACAAATTAATAACATCAAGTTCGCGTCGACTTTAACAAGTGCGACTGAGCGCAATCATAAAAGTTTTGCAACACGAAATTAAGTCAATAACGAAACGAAGGTGAAGCTTTCATTAATATATCCTCTACACACACATAAGAACTTCTCTCCAACGTGCGCAATTTAAGTTTCCTGATTCTGTTAAGAGGAGAGAAATTTCTACTCTTTTTTGGCACTGAGCGGTTTGAATTCAAACGAGAAAAGAGCCGAAAATCTGAGAAAAGAGAAAAACAAACATTTACAAGGGGTTATAAAAAGGCTTCCAACTCTTTCCGACTCTCTCAGTGAGCCCTCAGGAGGTTTTCGAGTAAATATAAGCAAGCGGCCCTTGATTTTCAGCCGAGCATATCTGCCGCCGCTTTTCAGAATATAATGCGAGGCAGGCAATTAGCGCTGAAAAGGCAAGTAATTTGTGCTGCTGCTCGAGCTGCTGCGGGAATATCTTGAGGCGTTGCCCGCGCACACTAAACTTAAACTCTCATAATTTGAATAGAGAAAAGTCTGGATGCGTCATATAGTTGTCGTGCATGAACACAAAAATGGAACCACACCTCTTTACGTGTCACCGACCGCTGCGAGGGGGTAACTTTGGCGAACAAAGGGCCAATGGCACCGCAAACATTTAGTGCGCTGTCGAGCAGGAAATTATTTTCCACATTTACTTTGATGTTTTCAAGTAAAAAAAAAACATAATTTTCCTCTAAGTTTGACGCTCGCGAGTTCGCGTGGGTGGTTGTGAGCATTATCGCGCCCCACATTCAGTTGCAGGTCACATGCGAGGTTATATTGCAACCTTATACTTTTGTCTCTCTCACTCCGTCACTTGGCGGCGAATATATTTTTCTACAGGATTTGTCACATTTGTTGTGTCCTTGTTTTTGCACGTCCGCAGGGGACTGTGTGGCCTAGATAATCCCTGCGCGACTTCATATATAGCATTATTTGGCAAAGATTTATTGTTTTACATATCGGCCCGAGTGAGAGTAAGGATGTGCATGCCACATTTTTGCCATTTCCGACGCGGATCACAGGACGAAAAAGTGTGGAGCAAATATTTCTGTTCTTCTTGTTAGTGGTGAAAAGAAAGAGCTCAGCGGTGGTGAATTCGTGGAAGGAAAATCGATACAAACGAGTAAAAGAATAAAAAGTGCCGTAAAGCCTCTTACTACTTCTTACACAGAGAGACTCAACCGTAAACTCCGCTGGGAAATACTGGCCTCTTTGATGGTCCATTTTTGAGGATTGTAATTAAATATGATTAATTCAAGAGACTGTCGTGCCTGGTTCCACTTTTGGAATAAAACGATTTGCTTGAATTGAAAAATCATTATTCCATAAATAGCCGGTGAGAGCACCAAAAAGATACACTTTATTTGAATTAATTTAATAATATTATTTGCCCCTGGACATTGGTACCTAAATTTTGACCTTCGTGAAACCAGACACTTGTGCGACCCCAGGTTCTAAAAAATGCCACCGCAGTGTGCGTTAGAAAATTTAGTTTTCGTCGACTAATTGAGAGGTAATTAGGTTATGTGGATGACACTTGATTTGGCTGGGTTCGCTTGAGCAGAGCAAACGTTGTTATTTCACGCTCGCAGACACACACATACTTGCCCGTTTAATTCATATGTGCTTGCAAGAGCCAACGAAGCGAGCGAAGAGCCCTGGACCTGTCTACATTATGCATGTAGTCGGTTTACATGTGTGGCAGGCTAATTTTATTATCGCTATCATCACAAGTCCGACCAGCTGCAAGGCGAAACCAGCGAAGAAAATGACGTGAAGCGAGCCAAATAGAGTTTTCACCGTGGAAGCAGCTCAAGCATATTGCTTGGCATTTAATTACCACTACTTTTCTGGTGCATATTATTTTGATCAGATTCATATCAGAGATAGATAGTAAATATATCATACATTGTGTGACCTTTTTTTATTCTGTAATTGTTCATAAATATTTAATTCTATCATCTATCGTGAACTAGAGGGGCTGTAATGTGCTAATCAAATCAAAAATAATGTTAGTCATGGACAAATTGAAAGACAAATAAATTTAAAAGTTTTGAACTTTATATTCCGAGTAATTGTTTTGACATTAATTAAAAAATTATAGTTCATATCTAAATAATGTATCGTATATTAAAAAAAGACAAGCTTACATGATTACGATAATCTATAGATGATACAATAGATTGATTGAAACAATTGTTATAACAAATATTTGTATTATATTTTTAACAATTTTAATTTCTAAAGCTTGCTTTTGTATTACTATAATAAGTAAAAAGTTTTATACAACATACAAAAGCTTTTTATGCAATTTCTAATTATAATTTCCTCACATTTCATAAAATTCAAAATTTCTGTTTGGTGGATTTTGATGAATGTGAAATTATTTCTCGCTGGTCTGAAGTGCTTTCCATTATCACGCCAAATAAATATCAAGTCTTCCATTCTAATATTATTATTTCCTCGTTACCACTTGAGCGAAAAGCAAATATTAGTGATTGAGAGACATTCAGCTTCGTGCAATTTCGTATTAAATTGATTTCGCCTCTGCCGCGCTCCTCTTTTTTAAAGCTGCTCTGTGGATATTGAACTAAACTCACTTTTCCTACTCTCGTCATCTCATCATAAAGGAAAGTCATTAAGAAGAGAAATATTAAAAAAGTTGCCTCTCTTTCCTCCTTTCTCCGCCTGATAATCCCTAATGTAATGCCTTTATTTCAAACTTCTTCTCTTCCCCTTGGGAACACACAATGCATTTCTTATTATTTCGTTCTGTGTGTGCTCGGGCAGCTGCTCCGCGTTGGCTTTCAGGCAAAGCAATAATGGCGTGTCGCCTCGTCGGCGTGTGCATATATATCTCTCTCGCGCCTTCGATTCATAAATTCTCCGCCTGACCTTTCGCGGGTCTAAAGTTACTCGGCTCAATTCAGGCCTTGGGGGAATTAACGGCACAGGCACCTATTGTTGCCTTTCCTAGTTGCTTGGCTCAAACTCTGCGCACTTGCTGCCAGCAGGACGAGGTGCCTCTTCTACTTGGCTACACATCTTTTATCTCGGCACATGACTACACACACACATACATATACACACATACCTCGCACGCACGCATACATCCATATGAGCGAACACACCAGGCCGGAATGATAGTGTGTGTCAAGTGAGTGAATATCCAACTCGGGCCCGTTTGCGCCTCCTCGACCTCGGAGTCATCCCGAAATTGCGGTGCAAGAATGGAAATTTCGAGAACCAACGAGCGCTCTTAAGGGTGTGTTTTGAACCGAGAGACGCGCTTCTAGCTTTGATGAGTCTATTTTAAGGGGAGCATCCCTTTAACTTATCTGGCTTGGTGTGAGCAAGCAGGGTGCATGTATTATATACACTGCTATTGCACAGAGGTCAAAATTTAGCAAAGCAATGTTGACATTTTATAAGAAATTCACCAAAAATTAATTAATAATCTTGAGAATTGAGTTGATATTAAAATCAGTCACTTTTTACTAACAATAAGAATAGTTTTAACAAACAATACTCGGATTTTTTTAAATATAATGCTACAATTTTTTTTAAATGTTATTATAAAAAAAAATGGCACGCATAATTCTATATAAAAATACACTTCTGAAAAGCGAGAAAACTCTAATTTAAATCGACCAAAATGAATATATTTTATTTATTATTTAAATTTTTCATTGCAATTTTATAATATAATTAACATCAAAAAATTTTCCAAAAATGTGTTTGTGAGTGATTTTCCTCAATTAGCCTGACTCAAAATTTTGGCAGAGCTATAAATTATTTTACAGCGAATTCACCATCTAAATTCGAAAAAGGGATTTTCTTTCTTCGTTCTGTCCTTAGATTCTCCCCCATCTTGTGTAGGGCAAGACACGGTGGTCACTTTCTTGTGCCCACCAGAGACAACCGAAATCTCTCCACGACTGATGTCAACCCGCTCGGCTACCTTGCTCTGTAATAATAAACTAAGGAACACCCTCGAGACAACCGGCAAAAAGAGGCCCTCGTCCACTCTGCTGTAATCAAATTTTCAACAGACACGTTGAAATTTTAATATCACTGATGATGTCGAATTTCCTCTCGGCAAACGGCGTCCCCTAAACTCGTCAGGCGCAAAACCGAGAGCAGTCTCTCGCCACTGCTTTTATTGTCCAATTAATTTGAAGTTTTGATTTACGTTGGCATCATCAACCAGGCTTCAGGTTGCACAGAAAAGCAGAACTTGA